ATTATTGGCCCCAGAGCTGTACTGAACCTTATAGAAAAGTTCAAGCAGTTCTTAGTGTAAAGCAGACAAAATCGGTACCTGACAAGCTCTCATGCTATCTGCGATCAAAATGATGGCTGACACCCTCTCAAAAGCAACTTCCTATAAAAGTCACCACCTCTCCATTAGTGCTGTCTGGAACAGTCAGCCGCAACAGGCCCGTGTGGAACAGCATTCACTCTGTAATCAAAGGTAAAATGTGTGGTTTTCAGAAAGAAAGTGCCACAGATTGAAAAAATAAAAATTACATTAAGCTTATTTTATTCTGTGCATCCGGCTCCCAGGTTTCCAGCTGGGATAATCAGCAATAAATCACATTTAATTTCCCTGAGAATGTGTGTCCAAGCCCAGAGCTTGAATATGAGACAGGATGTGGTAGACATGTGTTAGCAGGACTTTCAGTAAGACTACCATGTGCTTGTACATTATTTTTCACTCTGGAAAGAAGAAAGCATTAGTACTTCCTGACCCGTGATAAGCTGATGATGTATTTTTGTATTTATTAACATAGTTTGTTCTCACAAAATAGTAAAAATAAAAAATTAATAAATACAAATCTTTCACATTCTTTCAAAAGCATTGTAATGATTCAGAATTTCAGAACTCTATAGCTACTATATAAAACTGGATATAAATAAAATCCAAAAATACGGCACAAAGAATCTAAACCCAGGAAATTACAGACTTAGACTATAATTGTAATACTGCTTATTTTTCAAAAGTAGTAGGCAACATGAAGCAACCTATGCTTTAAACAGTTAATGTAAAGCATAGTAGTTTGTTCTCACAAAATAGTAAAAATAAAAAATTAATAAATACAAATCTTTCACATTCTTTCAAAAGCATTGTAATGATTCAGAATTTCAGAACTCTATAGCTACTATATAAAACTGGATATAAATAAAATCCAAAAATACGGCACAAAGAATCTAAACCCAGGAAATTACAGACTTAGACTATATTTGTAATACTGCTTATTTTTCAAAAGTAGTAGGCAACATGAAGCAACCTATGCTTTAAACAGTTAATGTAAAGCAGTCAGTGTTGGGGAGTAACTAGAGTTACATGTAACGGCGTTACGTAATTTAATTACAAAATAA